AACCTATAAATCCAAAGGTCACGTCTCGGTCTCCATCTTGTTTGACCTTGGGGACTGATGCTTCTGACCACCCCGTCTCCTTCCTGGACCTGTCTTCCTCCTCCCCCGGCGGTCCCTCCTTGTCGCCCGCGGGCCGGTCCCTCCTCCTCCCACCGTCGTCTTCACGTCAGGTGTCCGGGGCTCAGTCCTTTGCCCTGAACTCTCGTTCACTGGCACTCGCGCCTTGGCCATGTCATCACCACCACAGACCGGCCTCCAACCCGAGTCCCATGGTGTCCGCCAGAATTCTAAGGGCTGATGTTTACTATTCGGTTGTCGGAAAAGCCATGACGTATTTTTTCTATGTTTTTCGTTGCAAAAATGCGTCATGACTTTCCCGACAACCCAATACGTATCACCACCTCACTGACTTAAGGCCTCATCCAGGTCTCTTGACGTCTCTGATCTTCTTCAGGCCAATTAAAGGCTCAACAGTAAGTAACGGCCTGACTCCTGACACGTGCTCACTCTGATGACCCCCAGGGAGCCTACTCCCCTGAACTCACGTTTGAGTGAAGCTGCACATTAAGGAGACCAGGCGCTCCGGAGCGTGACACGGAGCTGTGGGCTCTCCCTCAGATGTTTTGGTCTGCGTTCCCCCTAATTGGGAGCTGCTGCACTAAAACATGATCTCATTCTGACTGCTTTTGCACAAATTGGCTTTGTTGCTAGGTAACACGCAGGGAGCTGATGACGCCCAAGGTTCCTGCGCCCAGATGGGAGGTGGAGCCTAGCGGCGGGCAGTGTTAGGAACCCCACTCACGCCCAGTCACGCGGAGTTTGCTGCTGCCCAGAGCAGATGCGGTTTTCACTAAAACAGGTGATCCGTGATTTTTTAAAATTTAGGTTGTGCGTCACCGGCTTGCCCTCCAGTGCTGCACAGCCACCTCTGATCGAGGGCCCACTCAGGTCTAAGGTGGCTGCAACTGCACAGTCATGCTTTCCCTGAGAATCGGGGACTCGTCCGCGAGACGGTTGTCACCAGGCCCTCGGAGGATGTGGTGAGATGAGGACCTGCCCCCTCTCAGCAGAGGTCAGCTTTGCCGAGGTGAGCAGAGAGGATGAGGCGTGGGGAGACGCAGCCCAGGGCAGCAGGAGGAGGGGCGGGAGCCCGGCATCTCCACGGAAGGAGGTGACGAGGGTGTGAGCTGGCTGGGCGTGATGGGAGCGCAAAGCAGAGGGGACACAGAGGCTACGCAGGGGGGAAGGCATAGTGCCATCTGAAACGCTTCCCTCGGTTTCCAATAATGTCACCAAGGTCCATAAAATGTGTGACAACTTGAAGACTCGGTCCCCCCGTCTCGTGATGGGGCTGGAAGCACCAAGGGAGGATCCCACCAAGGGAGCCGCGTGCACTTTGACATTTCTCGTGGGCACAGAGGACAAAACATGCCATCCCCTGCTGCTGCCACCTCCATCACAGCCTTACCCTGAAACACTAAGCTTGTGAGAGCAGTTAAGAGAACAGCAAGCAGCAGTGGGTAAGGGTTCGCCGGGTCCTGTGTGCTGAGGCGTGTCCGCACATTCACACGGACGCTGACACGGCCCACACCCACACGGCCCACACGTGTTCTGCTCTGCAAGGTAAGCTGAGCATGAAGAGGCCGCAGACACTCCTGGCCTCACGGTCCAGAGCCACCGCTCCGGGAGGGCGCGGTGCAGGAAGGCGGCCTCTGCCCAGCGGCCACTGCTTCCAGGTCCGTGGCTCCGGCCCGGGGTCAGCACTTCCACCGGCTACTGTCCCACCCCCACCCACCCCTCCAAGCTCATCTCCCGGAAACGCCACTTTGTTTTCTGACCGGGGACCTCGGGGTCACCCTTCTCCCTCTGGTCTAAGCTTCTAGCGTCCCGGCGAGAAGGCAGACTGTCACTTGGCCTCGCTGGCCCGTCCTGGCCACCCCGCCCCTCTCCCCACCACGTCCTCACCTCTGGCTCCTCCTTGTGCTGACCCACGTTGGTGCACTCAGGCCTCTGCCTGCACCCCTGCCCGGCCTTAGACATCCAGGTGACCACACGGCCTGTCCCCCCACCATAAGTCGGGCTCTCACCACCTCCTGTTCTCAGCGGCCTCTGTCACCAGTCTGTCCCATGGCCCTGCTATCCGCCCTGCTGTCATAGATGGAACCTTCCAGATCTCAGGCCAACCACACTGTCCCGCCCACGGTCACCCACTTGCATGACAACGTTCGACTCCTGAGATGACTAGCCGGGCTCTTGACAACCATGCCCAGCCCCTCGCTCCACTGCTTTAATTCAGGACCCACCTGAACCCACGTTCCAGGCACGGACCCCCACCCACAGCCCACGCCGCCCTTTCCCACCCGTGCTCCTCGATTCCCCACATCAAAGTCTTTCCCGAGAGGCCTTCGCTGGCATCCAGCGTTGGTGGCTGTCGGAACTCCATAGCTAGGAACCGCGTGCTAACTGTTTCTTCTCATGGTGATGACACCGGCGCTTTCTCCACCCTCATAACTCACGGGGCAGGGCAGGGCACCCCGGGACCACGGGTGCTGACCTGTGCACGTGCTGCTGTAGCTCAGCCCGGCTCCACTGCGGAGCCTTTATGGAAGCAAAGAGCAGCAGGTGCTCGCGGACGGTGAGGGTGTCGAACAGGACGTCCTGCTGAGGACACACCCCCAGCTCCTTTCTGACCGCGGCCAGGTCTGTCTGCAGGTTCTTGCCATTGACGATGATGGTTCCATTAGTGGGAGGGTACAGTCCCGTCAACATGGATCTGCCAGAGAAAATACGTCAGCAAGGACCACGCATCAGCCGCCGCTTCGGCACGCAGTCCGCCCCCAGCAAC